AGCTAACAGAAAATACCTAATCTGCATTTTTAACTGTTTATAGGACAGGATGCAAACTCATATTCAAGTTCAAAAGAAGTTTTAGCCATATGTGGAGGTTTTCCCCCATATTCTTGAAAAATACACAATTTTCGATTTAATGGGAAAGTCTCTGTCTTCATTAAAAAAACATAATTCCAGCTGACAAATTTCCACAATCATGAATTAATGTTCATGCATCTAGTATTCACATTTTGGTAATACAGTATGTAAATCTCATTCTATCAGAAAATTTCCTGTCTATTACAATAGCATTCTATTATAGTTTTATCATCTATGGTATGAAATTCTCACAGTTGCTGACATTTTTAAATGAGGGTCAAACTGTTAATTTCTCTGCATAGCTGTCTACTTTATCCCGTTGTTCTGAGTCTGCATTGGCATGCTCTCCAATTTTTCTTTTTCACTCTACTTTGCCTGCCTGGTCTTAGGTTTCTCTGTGAAGCAGTGGTCATGGGTGATTTAATTCAAGCCACAAGCACTGCACATACAGTGCTTGAAAATGCTTTACAGGACATGCTTCCTTCCTCTTCCTGGCTTGTGAAAGCTATGCAGTATATATTAATATCAATCCCCACATTCCCCAGAAACTTAAAACTGCTGGCTTCTAATTTGCTGCCGTAGTGACCCTTGGAAGAGCAGTGTTCCAAAGCAGGCAGGCATGTGTCAGCTCACACCAGGAGGGGTGATGTTTGGTCATACTCCTTTCTTCCTTAGTGCTGAACCATGATCCAGTCCTGGAAGACTCACATCAGGGAACATTTGCCTCTTGTTTAAGTGGCACAGTGAGTAGGCACATAGTTTACTGGGGGGAGATTGTTTGAAATTCTGGTTTGGTTACCACCAGAACATTTTGGTTACTATGATTAATAGTCAATGAACTATTTTATGGACAGTGCATTGTGATAGTAAATAGTGCTCAAGTTTTTTCTTACTAACAGATCACACTTGTTTAAGCAGCCAGCCATTTAGAACACACTAGATAAAAGATTTGTCAAAGCATTAGAGGAAAATAGCAGTATTACAGATATTTTTATTTCTTTTACACAAAGCACCCATACTGCACTGTTATGCTGTGAAGAAATCCACTTCTTTATTAATGACAGCTTTATTGAAGGCAAGCTTTCAGAATGAAAATACTAGAAATCCTAATAAAGTGCCATCCATTAAACCATTAAAGCACTCATTAAAACTGTTAGTACAGACTTGCTATTCATGAATTATTGGTCTTTCACACTTCTGAAATGTGTCTGCCAATACCACTCAACTCTTTGTTCCAGTGTGGCTATTAAGCCTGAGGAAATACAGATTAACTTTCTTTTGACAAAATGGTGCTTTATGGGAGGATGGTAAGGCCACAAAGTGGTTCAGATTGGTGAGGAAAATAGGAGAGATTAAAGTTCAATCCATTTGCCTGTTTCTGATAATTTATGTTAACTATGTCTGCATGTAGACCTAAATATTAATCACTAAACTACACCATCTGGCCATACATCATACAATGTGTATGTTTGGGTTTTTTCTTTGTATCGAACAGTAGCTTTAGAATGCTTAAACATTAAGGAGTGCAAAGTGGAAGAATGATACTGAATATGGAACAGTTGAAGCTAAGCTTCAAATTTAAAGTTTTCTTTCTGTAAATTCACATGAAAAATAGGTATAATATAGAGCTGAAGCTGTTTCTCATAATGGATAAGAATCTCATACCATCATTTTCAATGTCTGTGCATCATCTTTGTATATGCAAAACTGCAGTTTAAACTTACTGTTTGCAAGCATTTTTTATCATTATTTTTACATCCAGTTTTGCTTTTTATGATTGAAAGCCAGGGTTCTGCAGTCCAGGCTCAAAAATAGCAGCATGTTAGGCAGCCAGTTTATTCAGTTATTTTCTAGTTTTCTTGTCTAATGTGAAGAGAAAGCATATGTGACATCTTACATTGTGAAGAAATTTCTAGAATATTTTGGCAGTGTAGGTAAAAACCTAAAAGCTAAGACAGATGGTCTGCTTCAGTTATGTGTCTAGAACATTGCAGAGTAGTGTGCTTCATTCTAGGGCAGTGGACTGTGGTTTAGATAGCATGTTTTCATATATGTCTCTCAAAAAATACTGACTGGGTAGTCACAGACATTATAACTGTGCATTATTCCTGGTCAAATTAATAATTTTATTTTAAAAGGTAATTAGAATATAATGCACTAATACATAGTTACCATCTTCTGTACTATGTTTATGTTCTAAATTATTACCAGAATTCTAAGATAAATCTATAAAAATTATTTTCCAAAGTTCTGCAAACTTGACCAGTAATAAGAAATATAAGTAATAGGTAATATGTAACCTTTAATAAGTAATGTAACTCCTGCATAAGTTTTCTTACTCACCTTCATTAACTCAAAAAGGAAAAGAAGGGAGATTTGTGCTTAGAGAAGTCATTATGTAAATTTTATTACTTTTCAAGTCATATGATGTAAGTGAATTTCTGGCCTGCTGATAAAGAGGTATATTACATGTCTTAAATATAGTATATATGTATTTAACTACTCTTCCCAGTGCTGATGGAAATGTGCTCCAAATTCTTTCTCTGCACCTTTGATGAAATAAATAGCACTTAGGAGTAAAGATAAAATACTCATGTTTTTAAATTACACGGTGCATTCCTCTTCAAAATTCTACCAGCTATCCTTCTCAGAGCATGGGAAAACATTACTAGAATGAACCTAATTGTAAGGAAAAGGAATAAAAATTTTACAGACTGAAATTAGTGAATAAAATTTCACCATTTGCTTTATTGATGAATAAGAATTTCACTTTGCCATTAGAAAAAGTAATATTTTTGTTGGAGAAGGGTGAAGCCCTACTCTTGCATCAGATCACTATGTTTATACTTAACCACAGCATAGAAGTTATGTCTCCTTTTGCAAGAGGAAAAATGCTAGTTGGGAGATAGTTCTTTGTCTCTTTATAGGCAAACAAAATAAAATAGTGCTCAAAAAAAAAAAAAATCCATCACAAGTTTTGCAAATCTCTTAGTCATTAGTCTATATGGATACTAACTAAATAATAATAAGCTCTTAATACTATTGATATTTTAAGATATGTTAGTCATGCAAATTTCTAAGATAGTGAACCCAAATAGTTTGGTGTCAAAAACTGTGTAGAAGGTTAAAAAATTACGTTCATTCAGAGCTGCGTTTAAGACACACATAGTGGTACAATTCAAATGAATCATATCCAAAGCACAAGTAGAGTTTTCATGGCCTTCATCATGCTACCAGGGATTTAATTTCTTTGTCATTCCTCAAAATGGTCCCAGTTCATTTCCTTTTGAGAGAGGAGCTGCCAAGCCCTCTGTGTCAGTTGCTGTAGGTAAAGGGTGAGACAGAACCTGAGCCATCCCCCTTCTCTACTCTCCACAGCTAGGTTATGTAGGACTTTCTAACTTCGATTTTGTAAAATTTAATTGAACCTGGGGTACTGGTTAATAGGATAAGGCACCTGTTTTTCTGAGGTATTGTTTTCCTAAAGACAAATGCTTCTCTATCAGGCAGACAGGAAAAATGTTTTGGGGTTTTTTTTAATAATCTCAATAAAGAAATGAAGTCATTCTCAAAATATTAAATAAATAAATAAGTTGTATAAAATATGTCAAGATGCATGAGAATGAAGCAGTTTTCGAACTGGCCAAATTATCAGTCTAAGGGATAAGTCCTAGTAAAATCACATTAATTCATTTCACACGTACTCGTTATTGTGGTGTTACCTGCTCAGGTCAGGGAGGGAAGAGTCAGTAAAGCTGTTGGCATGATGCTGTATGAGAGCGTGGCTCTCCTGACTTGTGCCATGTTGCGGGTCTGCTCATGGAAAATGAGCATAGTGTTGGTGATCTGCCCTGCTTTGGTTTAACTGCATCTGCCAGTTCTTACCAGGATTAAGCAGAGGGCATAAACCTCAAGCTGTAGTTGTGTATTCATGTTGATGAAACAATTTTAAGGTCTCTAATGTTACGGAAAGGGAAAGTAAAACAATAGGTGATTATTCATGACTTCTCAGTGTGAGATGACCTTTCATACACCCACTGCCATAGTGAGCATAAACAGGTACCATCTGTTACCTATTTTTTATCACTTTGCTGCATATGTACTTCAACCATAGAGGTAAAAGTAGTAGTCTGAAGTTTCCCTTGTGGTGAAGGATGAAGGAGTGTTGTTAACGCTTCTGTAATTCCACCCCGGAACATGAAGGACACAGAAAATAAACAGCAAACCTGGAAACATGTAGATAACGTAGTTTATGAATAAGATTAGTTATGTTTATGAATAAGATATCATTAAAATTTCAAATATGCCTGAATTGCTTACTTATTTATATGACTCAAGGAAATGAAAAGCAGGTTTCTTTATGTTGTCTATGAATGAAACACAGCTAGTTTCCTGAGCAACCCTAGTATCATGGGCTAACCTGCCATCAAAATGAAAGAATAGGAACATTGTGTTTCTTTTGGAAACTTTATCAGGAACCTTTGGGGTTTATTTAGTAAACAGGACAGTGAAATTTTTGAACATGTCCACTTATTAATAAAGGCAAAAATATTTGTTCCTCTTCATCCCAGTGTTTTTGAGATTAATGATATTTATTCATTCTCTGTTAAGCTAGGACCTCTCACTTGCCATATGAGTGAAAAAAGGGTGAATAGGTTGCTTTCACTGAAGAAAAAGGCCCAGATTTTAAAACCATATGGTTTAAGCTCCTCATGGAAATATCAAATGCATAAATACAAAATGGTTAATATAATATGATGGGATATGTTACAATGTGTCCTGAAGTAATACTTTTATTTCAAAAGGAAATTATTTCCAGAGCAAACTTGGGAGTTTAGTTTGTAATTGTCATAAATAAAACAATTATCTAGTCCCTAGCTGAAAGTTTCCTTTCCTTTTTTTCTCTTTGTCTTTTGAAGTCTATTGATCCTGGTCAGCAGTTCACATGGGAACACTCTAACCTGGAAGTAAACAAACCAAAGAATAGATATGCGAATGTAATTGCATACGACCATTCTCGTGTCCTACTCTCAGCAATAGAAGGTAAGGAGACCTTTAAAATTAAACTAAATAAATCCTAAAATCTAGAATGATTTTACCACTCAATATCTTTATTAGTAATATAAAGAAGTGTTAATTAAAGTACTTCCAGTAAATTCCTGTAATGACAATCGTTTTCTGATGCTTATTGTCAGTAATGTATTATGAACTTGCACTAAAATGTACATTCATGTGTATGTGAATGCATCAGTTCCCAATGTATATGCCAGTGAGTTATCTAAAGTAAATTAATATTGCTGTTTACTTACACTAACCTTACAAAGCAAATGTAGAAGTAAGCAAACATACTTGAACTGAAGGATTTGTTGATCAATGAAATTATCAAGATACCTGCTCATTGAGTTTTGCTTTGCAAAACCTTACTGTGGAAAAAATTCGCAGCTCAACTTCATGTTCTCTGGGGAAATTTTAAAAACTCTCTCCTAGAACTTTAATTTCCAATCTAAATGTTAAACTAGAATTTTTAAACAAATGACCACATGCAGACAATTTTGGGAGTATCTCTCTGATTGAAGATTGTGAGATTGTGTGATTCAGTGAGAGCTTTTTGTTATATCTTTCTTTGTTAATAAGCTTTCTAAAATCTTAAACACTTCCAAGTTTTATCTGAAGCATATTGTTACAGGTAGTCAGCCCTAGGTATTATGTCTTTTAGCAAGCATCAAGACACACTGGTTTTCACTCAGAGGTATTTTTTTTTATTTTTTCCAATTCTGCCTTACTGTTAACTTGCACTCTGGGTTGAAGACAGATTTTCAGTTTGCTCTATGATGTTGACAGTCAGGTATTAGTGATGGCCATAATCAAACAAATGATATATTTAAATGACACAATTTAAGTGAAAATAAGATTTTTCCTTTATTAACTCCAACAGGATTTGAATAAGATACAGAAGATAGAGGGATCTGTATTCAAGGTCATAGTTATTTCAGTCATACCATGCTACAAATTAAACTGTGCTTTAATTTACAGTTATAAACAGCTGCTTATCTTTGGCTACTCAAGACCTAAAGACACTGGATTTTTGGGCGTAATCCACTTTAATATTAGTTGCTTGGTGAAGAAAAAGGCAATCCCACTGACTGAAGTTTAGATCGTTCCTTATTTATTGCTGCTGCATATCATAGGCTTTGATAATACAGATAAGAGCTTCTCAAATGCATTAGCAAATTTTAATGATTACCTTGAAGAATTTGCATATGATGTTCTGCTTATATTCGTTCCACCTTTGAGGCTCATAGAGCAGTTCTGACAAGATTTTTTTACAAGATCACTGAAGGTTTTTCATATTGTCTTGTAAAATAATATAACACTGTAGAAACCTTCTTCTACCTGGTAAAACTACCTGAATCAACACTGAAGAAGGTATCCTAATTAGCAGCATATATGATGTAACTCAATAAATATATCCTTTTCTGTCACACTGGTCCAGACAAGAAGTACATGGTCTGAATATGTCAGGAACAGCAACTGAACAGCCTTTCTGAATGTATGTAGAGTTCTTCGGAACAAATTGCTTCACTCAGAAATAAGTCTAACTGGCAAAAAGAAGAATCAAGTCTTACCAGAAATTTTGTTTGGAAAAAGAGTTGTGTAAAGGAGGAGAGAAGGAGAGAAAGAAAATAAAATGCAAACAAATGTATTTGTTAATTTACCCTTTATGTAAATGACACCTGAAATTTGGTTCCCTTAAAAAAAAAATTAAGATATTCAGAGAATGAGAAGCAAATTAAAGAGGCAAAACAGAAAGTGTTAGTCAAAGTAATTGAAAGTATGAAATTACACAGTACATTGGACTATCTTTTTACATAATCGATAATAAAAATACAGAAAAAAAAATACATTGCACCTGGAAAAGATTGAGTATTTAAGGAGCAGGGACAAAATGCAGCTAAACTGTAATGTTTTACTCCCTTTTCTAATAAGAAATACTGTGATGAGGCTAAAATTTCTAAATCTTTCATAGTCATTTGCACTAAACAGAGAAAAATATTATAACCTTTTGTAATATTAGTGTTAGATTTAAAAGCACAAATGGGATATTGACCCATTTCATGATTTTCATTATTTTAAGTATTTTCCCAGTCTTTACATTATGATGAAAAAAGCATATGGTGAAGAAATAAAACATTAAATGTCTTTTTATAAAATTATATTTAGTCTTGACAATGGAAATAATTAAGTACATAATTATCCTCTTAAAAAATGTTATTCCTGGGATTTTACATGATTGGGTAGATGAAATTTAATGTGGGTACCTTCATAAGTTTAATGCATTGGTCTTAGCATTTAGTAAAAAATACTTCTCTTTCAGGTTTTAAGTAGATGTTTCAGATATGAAAATACAGTGTGATCAGCACTTTATTCTGTTTACAGCTGTTCTTCTTTTCATGTTACCAGGGAAATCAGTATTTGGAATATTTCTTAAAAATACATTCTTCTTTACCTATGTTACCATAGAACTTAATCAGGACCTAAATTTGGACTCCATTATATTTTGCTACAATTATCTGGAGAATATTTGGTTTACATATGGACCTCATCTGCATTTCTTTGGTGGATACAAGAAAACTAATATTATTAGTGAGGTTTGAACACTAACTGAGCCTTTCTCATAAGAAAAGCTCAATTTTACACCTAGGCAGTTGCTTACTCTTTAAGAGCAAATAGATATGAAGAAAAGACTAAGCATCTGCTGAACTGTAGTCCTACAGTGATTGAACATTTTGCCTCAAGAGTTCTGCAGAAATATGGAATGTTGTAATCGGTACTTCAGAGTGAGGCATCAGGCCAGTTTTTTTGCAGTAGCAGAACTCCGTAGCCCATTCAAAGTGATTACTAGAAAGTTTTGAGAAGCAATTAGCAGAGATTTGAAATTACTTATTTCCAACTATTGATAATATAAAATTACATTAGCCCTGGAACACAAGGCTTACTAACACTTTCAAAGTATTTATTTTGGTAAATAAATACTTTATAACTCCTGTTCAAACCTGGTTTTGAATCCCCAGTAAGTTCTTGACCCCTCTAATTTTATACAGAATGGAGTTCCACAACATAATTGGTCATTTCATAGCAATACTTCCCTTATCACTGTTTAAATTTTATTACATTAGATGTACATTAGTTGTCTCTTACATTAGATGTCTCTTTTGAGGGGAAAACTCAGGTTGGATGTGGTAATTTAGTTTTCCTCCTGAAAAGAAAATTTTACTTGTAAAATTTTGTTCCCATGTTCCTGAAACCTGATTGAAGTCTTGAAATCAGTTCATATTGTGCTGTCTTTGGCTCCTTTTGAGATGGACACTTGGAAATTTTAAAGTATAATGACAGAATGTTAGAATGTAGTGAAGTTTATTATATGCATCTAAATGAATGTAAGGGAAAATTTAATGCTTAAAAGACAAAGAGATTGAGTTAAAACAGCTCGATCTGTGATCTTCAACCTCTAAGAAGTAAATAAAAGTTCAGGGGGTAGAGAGGGAATGGATAAACATTCTGCATTTTAAAAAGTCTTGCCAATTCTTGCAGGAGATATCCATGACTAAAAGTCTTCTGTATGTGGATAATGGATTATTCGCATAATGCCAGGTATTAAAAGAAAAAAAAAACCAAAAAACCATCATATTTCAGATGGGTAATTTTATTTTTTTTTATGGGAAATTTAGCGACTTTAAATTGCTGCTAATACTAGAAAGCTCTGACTGCAATACAATGGTCAAGAAAGAAAAGACAAGAAGCTGCTGATACTCTTATTTGTCTGATGGCCCATTGCCAGTAAATTGGATTTGAGTATGCAGACCAACACTGTAAGATTTCGAAGCTGTTTGGAGTGTTGTAACTACCAAAGAGTCATGACCTGTACAAACTATTTGCACTCCCTCACATTGTTTTTATGTTGCCTTCTGCTAACAATACATACACTCAGAGTAATCACATGGCCCCTCACCCTACAAGCGTGGAGTGCCTTAAAAACAACAAAAGTATTTTGGTGATGGATGCAGAAATACCCATACAGAATATGGATACAGAAAGATTGGTAAAGTAGATTTCGTGGTGTTAGAGCCATGTGAAGTAGGTTTCATAGAGCAGACTTTGTGGTGTCTTTCTCAACAACAATGCTGAGACAACTTTTAGGTGTTTGAGTCTACTGATACTGTAATAGTTATATCTTAAATGCTGCCATTTTTGGTAACCTTGAAATCTGCTCAGAACAATTTTTCCTGCATATGTAGGTACTTACCATTGGGAAAAGCTTCAAGAAAACATCTGGTAGCTTTGTTCTTGATTGTCTAATGAAGATTTGATATGTGCTTACTGTGCACACTTGTATTGAAACTGGGTTTTGCAGGAACTATCAAACCAGATATCATCTCATTTCATATTAGTAAAGGCACTCATCATGTCTTTTAGTGCATCATTTAGAGTATAAATTAGTATTTCTACTCAAGAAAAGATTTCTTTGGCTGTTAACTGCTGTGTTACTCAGTGTTTAAAAGTTAAAGAGATCACTAACCCAGCTTCAGACAGCAGTAAAATAATCACAGTACTATGACACTGTGTTAGATTTAAATATCAGATTTGTAGTATTGTGCAGCATACTGTGGTCTGCACATACTGCCATGCATTATGGAGAGTGATGCAATGCTCTTACCTATTATTCTGAGGACCTGCACAGAACAGTCTGTTTATTTCCATTCTGGACTTGTTAATACTAGACAATTTTTGGACCAAAACAAAACAAAACAAACTCATGCTTCCTTTCTTTTTCCTAAAAGAGCTTCTCCTTCTCCCCGTGTTTGTCTGCTGGTAGCCTTCCTAGTTTCTCTTCTCACCTGCAGATCTTCTACATTCTTAGTTCTTAGTTTGCATTCCTACATTTCACTTTAGTCACCTTTTCCTTTCAAATGCTTCTGTTCTCTAAAACAATCCCTTTCTTTGTTGTGCCTAATTCTGCATCTTCTGCCTATCCCTTTTTGGTA